AGGGGTCAGCTCAAACTTGCGCAGCAGGGCTTGTTTGAACACTTCATAGTCCCCTGCTTCCATCTCATCCATCTGGCTAAACATCTCTATGGCTTTGGGACCCAGTAAGGGGGTGAGATGCTAAAGCCTGTCTGCAAGGTCAACCTGGTGCACATTGCAGGCCTTCTCAAAGGCAGCAAAGAAGGCATCCCCTTCCTTAAACTGAGGCAGCACTTTGATATCAGAGTTCCCTGTGGGCTTAGCCACTCTGGGCCCACAGTAGGGGTCTCTCTGCTTCTCTGCTCTGCCATCACTAGTTCATGCTGCTTCTGTCTCTGACGGTCCTCCCATTCCTTCTCCTGGTCCTCCAGCTCTTTCAGTTTCAGTCCCATTTCCAACTCCAACTGTCTCAGCTCCACCAATGGGAAACTTGGTTGGGAAGATTCCCTGCTGATTGGGTAGGTGGATCCTGGGGCTGCCTGGCTGCTTTCAGCCCCTCCTGCATTCCTGGCTGGGTCAGTGGCTGGGAGGAACCCTGGCACAGCCTGGCTGCTCCCAGCTTCTCTCATGGGCCCCAGCTGGCTCAGGAACCAGCTCCTTAGAGCAATCATTCTCTTCCAACTGGGCAATCAGCAGTGTCTTGGTGAATTTTCCAATGCGCAGCGCCCCCCCCCCCCTCTCTGCACAGCTCTACAATATCCTTCTTAAGGAGATGGTTATAGGCCATCTTCATGCTGTTCCCAAGGGGTCCCAGACTCACAGGCCTGTGTGCACTCAGCTTCCCACGATCCCTGGGAGGAACCCCTTCAGTGCAACAGCGCTTCTCAAGGGTCCACTTTCTTTTGGGGGTTAAGCCATAAGCACCTCAGACTCATGGAACCGCACCTCTCAGAGCCTCCAGCATGCCCATCTCTCGCTAGCCCCCCTTTATTTTACTGCTCCCCAGTCACTGCAGGATGCTCTGTCCACAGGGTGCAGTTTGATCCCACCGCTACCACCAGTTGTCACAGTCACTGGGCGATGCTCTGAAACTACTCCATACGAAGCCAGTCAGGACTCTGGGGGAGCATGCCTCCTCTCTTTGAGCATACGGTCTCCAGGGCAAGAAGCTTACACAGCTTTTCCCTTACTGGGTCTGATCTTGGCGTATTCAGCATTCCCTCTTCACACTGTGCGTTTCCCACAGCGAGTCCCCAGGAACCCCAACTCCGCAGGCAATTTAAAACCGCCCGGGGCCCCCACCCACCACCAGTAGTGCAGTGGAGCTGAGCGGCTTCCTGCCTGCTCACCCCTGTGGCCCCTGGGTTGGGTGGGTCTGTATCTATGCACACTACTCCTGCCCCAAGCACCCCTGCTGCCAATAGGAAGCTGTGGGGGCAGTGCTTGGGGATAGCAGTGTGTGGAGGCCCCCTGGCCTGCCCTGCCTAGGAGCCCCAGGTAAGTGCTGCACCCTCCACCCCCTCCCAGAGCCTGCACCCCTCACCCTCTCCTGCACTCCCACCTCCTGGCCCAGCCTGGAGCCTGCACCCAAACTCCATCCCAAAGCCTGCACCCCCCCTTCCCACACACCACCTCCTACACCCAAACTCCAGCCCAGAGACTGCTCCCCTCACCCTCTCCTGCAACCCCATCTTAATTGGCTCTTATTAGCATTCTCAGAATAAAACACTATAAATTTACTTTTACATTAATCACACAGTAATTCAAAACCAGGAACTTTCACTGTCTGTCCAAACCATTCTAATTTCTCTGGAGTAGGATCATCTTTCATCAGTCTTAGATACTATGATGAGGGTCAGGTTATTAATTATATTGATATTTTGTGTGTGTATAGAGAGAGAAACAAGAGTGTGCGAAGTAATTTTTAGACCGGTCAGAAGACATTGCCATAGTTCTGCCCTGAGGATCTATGGAGAAAGGAAGTTGCAAGTGTGATGTGCTTACACCTCTGCAGTGATGCCTGACTCCCTTCAGCCAGGCTGCATGGTTCCCTCTGGAGTTGGCCTAATAGCAGGCTCTGAACTGCTACGCAACACTTGGGTTTGATTTTTGGCCTCCGTTTCCCAAGCCTTGTGTAGGCAGCCAGTTGGGAGTACTGCAGAGGTTTTATGCACAGCAGCAGTTTCTTGAGTCATTCAGGACCAATCTTACAATTTCTGGGGCCCAAAGCAGACAGAAGGAGAAACTGAACTGTGAATAGCCTCCCCTTTCAGTCTAGCTGCTAGAGATGTCTGATTCTACTGTCAGAAAAGGAAATTGGGCCATGAATTGCTGAAGCTAACCAAAAGCAGCAGCTTGTTTTACTTGAGCAGTGACACCGTACTAGCTTAAGCCCAACAGTGAGATCTCTGATTGCTTATGGAGACATACTGAAGAGTTCAAAAAGAACTGGTATCCAGTCCTCCTTGACCAATAGGATGCAGGTTGTGGTGCAGAACACTGATGGGGATATAAAGGAGAGGAGGGCGGGGGGAATAATCAAATCACTGACTGGGACACAAATTTGTTTCCATTTATTTGGCGGTTTTCCAGTAGGACAAACTTACGCATCAGTGTCATATCAAAACATCAGTATCAAAATATCATAAAGTGTTTGTCAGAAGGAGGTGACTTTTTTTTCAAGACCTGAAAGATATTTATGGACATTACCATCCTATAAATAAAATTTGCAGGATTTGGAATTGCCCTGCACAATTGAAGTAATCCCAGAAAAAGGGTACACATTATGTAGATATGCAGTCTCCTACTCCCTATGTAGAAAAGGAAAATAACAAAGAAGGAGATAACAATTTTGGCATTGAAATGCTTCCAGACTGCGAATAGTTTTCCATAATTGTCAGGCACAGTGACCAAAATGTGGTGGTATATGACCAAGTATAATGATCAAGTAAATTTAGTGGCCAAACATAATGATTTAATGGCACAGATATCAACATCACAAAACCATCCTTAAAATGGAGTGAATTGTTTGCAGTCTCAACAAAATGGACAACTAAACAAATATTTATGGACACCCACTCGCCCTTAAAGAATGAGGATCCTGTAGACAGCGTTGAGGCACATTAGTGGACATATATATCTATACAGTGATGGTTATACACATGATGGGCTTCTATATGATGCTAGCGGAAGTGGTGGTTTATGCAATATATGAAACAATGCATATGAATTTTAAACTGGTTCCAGCTGCTGACCTCATGGTGCTATCTCTAAGAGCTAAATTGGGCTTCCCTGCTTTTCTTTCACAAACAGATTAACTGAAGACAGTGAGTCACTAATATGAGTAAGGTGAGCAGGAATTAGGCTCTGATTCAACAAAGCATTTACAGACCTGCTTGAGTGCTTTTCTCAATCAGAGAGAGCTATAGCCTAACGCACCCTATTGTGAAATATGCTGAGGTTCCTAAAGTCTCAGTGTCTTTGGTTGGAGATGAGAATGCTTTAAATCTAACAGGAGATGCTCAGTACCTTACAGGTTTGGGCACATAACCTCTCTGTGTCTCACTGGTAAAGTAGGGACTAAATACTTACCTATTGTACTTTGCAAAGGTGTTGTGAATCTAAACTGAATTGGCATTGGCTAAACACTTTGAAATCTTCAGATGAAAGGTGGCTATGTAGTGCGAACCTACATATTAATCATAATTGATGCATAAAATCACATTAATCATACTTAATTATTTATCTAACTGTAATTATACTGGATTGTTATAATTATATAAATATTATGTTGCAGTAAATTATTAACTATAACATAGCATGATATTTGTTTTACTCTCTAGCCTAAATAAATATTAACATAAATTCTGCAACTGTGGCCTGTGCCCACACAGTCAGTTGGAAGATTATGGGCATAAAATTAGACATAGTAACAGACTAGCATGTATATAAGATTATAACATTAAACTATTAATGCATGAGCCAATCCCAAGTGTTCAAAAATCATGAGTCAAATAAAAAGACAATCATGAGCTTTTTAAAAGGGAATAAATATTGGGTTCTTTTCATTTGCTGCCTGGAGTTTAAGCTTTTATGATGTTACATTTTCAGTCTCTCCTCTGCAAACAAGGGGACTAACAATCTACTTAAAAAACAGAATTAAGCATCTCCCATAATCACATGACTTCAGGAGCTGGGGCTTTAATATAGCACCCCTTCCCAGTAACATGTTAGCAGCCAGCAATGCTGTATTTCATGCTATGACTAAGGCTATGATTTAGTCACGGGTATTTTTGGTAAAAGTCATGGACAGGTCACAGGCAATAAACAAAAATTCAGGGCCCGTGACGTATAGTATAAATACCCCTAAATAAATTGGGGGGTGGGCATTGTTGCAGGGGACACTCTGGGAGGTCACTGCTGCAGAGGGAGCCGGGGGGGTGCTACTGGGCGACAGGCACTACTGGGGGGGTTATGCTCTGGGGGGCTGGGCCCAGGGGCAGTAGCTGTCAGGGGCCACCAGAGCAGCCGCTGCTCTGGGCGACCCAGGGACTTGCTGCCAGCGGCTGCTGGAGGAGTGGCTGGCCCCAGAGCCGCTCCAACAGCAGCCCATGTGGCTGGCCCCAGAGCCAGCTGTTTGGGCAGCCCTGGGGTCGGCCACACTGGCTGCTGCAGAAGTCTCAGAGGTTGCGGAAAGTCATGGATCCATGATGGCGCCCTAGCTATGTAACCAATTATACACCATCCAATTTTATCTAATTATAATGTAATGGGAGCAGTCCAGCTATACTCTAACCAAGAGACCATCATTAACTGCAATTCACTTGCAGAACAGTCCCTTTATTTTGGGTGCTGGTCCTTTAACCAGGTGGGCGGTGGGACGGCGCGGCTAGAAGCGGAGGGCGGGAGGGCAGCAGCAGTACTTCTGTGTGGCCACACGATGTCGCTCTTATACAAACGCTCCCTTCTCCCCTTTCCAGATCTTTCTCGAACTCTTGTCGGCCGGAGCCGCCTCAGCCCGAGTCTGTCCGGAAAGTGCCGAAGGTCCGTCGGGGTCTCGCGCAGTCCCCGCCGGAAGGCGCAGCGCGCTTGCGCAAAGGAGAGTAACTGCCGGTTGGTGGCTGCTGCTCCGCAGTGGAGAGCGCGACGGGTAGGGACTGGGAGCCGGTGTCGGCAGCCGAGACCGCTGCAGCGACAGGCCCGCGGGGATCGGAAGGCACCGGGCGCAGTTATGTCTGTGGTCGGCATCGACTTGGGCTTCCTCAACTGCTATGTCGCGGTGGCGCGGAGCGGCGGCATCGAGACCATCGCCAATGAGTACAGCGACCGCTGCACCCCGTGAGTACCGGGCCCCGTTCCCCGCCCGCTGTCCCTCCCGTGCGTACCGGGCCTCTCTCGCGGGTACCGGCGCCTTCCCCGTCAGTGCACAGCCCCCCCCCCCCCGAGGACAGGGCGCGTCAGCGTGGCCCCGGAGGGGATTCTGATAGTCGCTTTGAGAAGCCCCAGCGCGCAGATCCCCGTTCACTTCCTCTGCCGGACAGAGCTCCTCTTGCCCCCGGGCCTGGAACGGGTCGCTCTCAGCCCCCTGCGGCCCGGGGGAGCGGAGCCGAGGAGCGCGGGTAGTGGCAGCGGCCGGCGGGTGCGTGTGTCTGTGCCTGGGAGCTGCTGGAGCAGTGCGGTATCAGTGGCAGGTTTAGGTCCTGCTCATTCATCCGCTTCCCCTCCTCCTCTGCGCTCCTTTCCCTTCCTCCCACCTCTGTGACAGGCTAGCTGACGATGATTTTGGGTGGGGGTTCTGTTCAAGTGATATTTCTTGGTTATCATCTCTGGTGCCCGGGAGGTGATCGGAACCCATTTTATAGCCTGCTGAAGGAGGCCTTTTCTGAGACCCAGTGGAATTTCTCTGCCCTCTGATAGATACTTCGGGATTTGGTCAGCGAAGATCTCTTTTTAAACAGATGGGTTTATGCACAATTCACATTGCAGTGGTTTGCAGTGTTCAGAAGCTATTCCACTAAGAACAGATGATGGAATGAGTATGAGGGACTAGAGGAGATGGAAGAGGAGGTTGTCTGAAGGAGGATAAAAGAGAGTGATATGAGGAATCTTTCCTCTTTCCCCCCCCCTTCTTCTTCTCTCCCCTCCACCCCCCAAAAAAATCTTTTTCCTACTTGTTCTGCTGCTTCCTCTCCTGGCTGTGAAATATCGAGGTTTCTAGCAAGGGGGGATGGACTATGTTCGTGATGATGGGACAAGCAAGAGTAGGTGGAGATTTGCCTCCTCTGTTTCTATGGGGTATACCTAGGACTTTAAGTAAGCTTCAGCTGTGTGTAATGTTCTACTAGAAACCAGGAATTCATGTAAAAGGCTCATAAACTGTACTTCTTGAATAGTGCATGCTCATTTGTTTAAAAAAAAATTCCAGACCCATAAAGAGCAACTAAAGTAAGCCTTGCTCCTTCCAGAGAAGTCTGTTTTGAGTATAGTATTTTACTGTTTCATCTCTTGGGAATAAATGTGTTTTAACTTCTCAGTATTTATTTATATACAAAAAGGCTTTAGTCTATTTATTAAAAAAAAAAGCCAAGCACTGAAACACACTGGTTAATGTGTCTAAGATGTTAATGATGAAGACGCTTTGCTTTAAATACCACAATGTATTATCTGATAATACCGCCCTTTCCTTTGTTTCCAAAATTTTTAGTAAGGAACTAGGTGGTTGTTGTTTTTTGTGAGCATCAACATTTTGAAACCTATTTTTAAACTTCTGCCAGAGACCATTCTTAATAGGCAACGCTGTCTTGAGACTACTCCAAAGAATCCCCAAATATCAAGTATATTCAGGTCCATCTATTTTAGAATACCACTTCTGCTTAACATCTGTTTTTGGAGTGCATTCTTTGCATATGCACTTCAGACATTTCAGTGTATTTAGTTAGCCTTTTAGTATATCAGATGGAATAATATACAAAATTTAGCTGTTTTCAAACTGACAAAAGCAAGTTGACGTAACTAGAGGAAACATACCATGTGCTTTGATACTTGGGTGCAGCAGGATGCTTTATAAAAATCATTAAACAGTTCCTCTTTTTGTCTAGGTGTTGAAGGACTTATGGTATTTATCTTGACTTTTCAAGTTGAGACTCAGCCCTAATACAATCTAATGAGGCTTTAGGAAGAGAATTCGTTTTTTGTTTGCTTTTTTGAAGTAGTGTGAATTATTGTACGGGATAGAAATGTCAAACAAGCCATTTTTACTTTGCATAGGAGCACTAAGCCTTATGGCTTTGTTTAGACTTTGGATTTAGAAAGGTGTACCTAATTTAGTAAGGCCCAGGTGAGCTCTAAGAACCTCTGTAAATGTCTAGGTCAGTGGTCCCCAACGCGGTGCCCGCAGGCGCCATGGCATTTATGTGCGCCCGCCTACTGACAAGGGAGCGCTTCTGCCGGACAACCCGCCGCCGAGGAGCGCGGCCGCTGGACAACCAGCTGCCGAGAAGTGTCACCGCCGAAATGCTGCTGCTTCTCGGCGGCATTTTGGCGGCGACGCTTCTTGATGACGCCGGTTCTCGGTGGCATTTCGGCAGCTGGTCGTCCGGTGCCCGCCACACTCTTCTGGGAACGTGAATATGCTATTGCAACAGCAAAGTTGGGGACCACCAGTCTAGGTTTTGCCTAGATCAGGATTTAAAGGCATGGAGTTAACAGGTTAGATAACACATGCAAACTAAATATGTTCTTTAGGTATGTCTGCTCATTCCCAACTAACTTGAGGTAGTTAACAGCATCATAAACTAGCCTGAACCTCCCCAAATATTTGTTCCAAGACACAGGTGTTTGTGGTCTACCCTAGGAATTAACATGTGCTAACCCATGGTAAAGTCTTGTGGAAACAAGGCAGTCTAGACTTGTAGAATGTATTTAGTTAGCACATGCTAGCTAGCAATGCATTTTTGAATCCTGCTGCTTTAATTAGTAACTATTCTCAAATTTTTACTCTGTAACTGAGAGGAATCTTGATTGTTAGCATTCCTGCAGTGATCTTAATAAAGTTATTACTGAATCCTTAAAGTTTCAATAAATGCACAACAGACACAGGGTTTGAAAAATGTGCTTGCCAGTAGTGAGATGGTTGTCATAGAATATTAGGGTTGGAGGAGACCTCAGGAGGTCATCTAGTCCAATCCCCTGCTCAAAGCAGGACCAACACTAAATCATCCCAGCCAGGGCTTTGTTAAGCCAGGCCTTAAAAATCTCTAAGGATGGAGATTCCACCACCTTCCTAAGTAACCCATTCCAGTGCTTCACCACACTCCTAGTGAAATAGTGTTTCCTAATACCCAACCTAGACCTCTCTCACTGCAACTTGAGACCATTGCTCCTTGTTCTGTCATCTGCCACCACTGAGAACAGTCAAGCTCCATCCTCTTTGAAACCCCCCTTCAGGTAGTTGAAGGCTGCTATCAAATCCCCCTCATT